TTGCCTTCCAGTCCACTTCTGGGCGGTTCCGGACGACAACTGGGGAAGTGTCCTAAGGGGCCCTGGCCTGGTTCTGACAGAACTCCACTTCGAACGAGAACAGGGACAGCAACACAAATGTTCAGAGAGTTTCTTCCAGCTACCCCTAGGACCAATTGGTTCAGCCCTCTGCACTCCTGCACAACACTCTGCAACCTCAAACTTTTCACCAAGCTCGTCGATGGATTCACGACGAAATCCGAGTTTGCGACTCAATCAAGCCCCAGAACAAGCTGCCCCCAAGTGGCGCGGCAACGTCATCAGAGCTACTTGCTGCACCACTGTAGCTGGATTCCGCAGCCGATGGTGACTCTCGCTGCTGGGCACGTTGTGCCGAACCTTTCCGTTGTGCGTCAGGAACTAGACTTCTAGGCATTGAGGGCATTAGTATAAGACCCGCACTAGCAACAGCAAAGTAGTAGTAGTAGTAGTAGTAGTAGTAGTAGTAGTAGTAGTAGTAGTAGTAGTAGTAGTAGTAGTAGTAGTAGTAGTAGTAGTAGTAGTAGAGCAGCAGTAGTAGTAGCAGTAGCAGTAGCAATAGTAGTAGCAGTAGTAGTAGCAGTAGTAGTAGCAGCAGCAGCAGCGGCAGCGGCAGCGGCGGCGGCGGCGGCGGCGGCGGCAGCAGCAGCAGCAGCAGCAGCAGCAGCAGCAGCAGCAGCCGCAGCCATGCGCGCCCCTCGGTGCCAAGTTCTTTGCCTCGCATGCGTTGCGCGGCGCATCCATGGCCAACCATGATTCCGTTGTTGCCACTGCGCGCAACTGGTCAAAGCATCCATGCTCCAACGTTGATTGTGTCCGCGTTACCCACTTCTGAAGGTGTTGAAGGCGAAGAATGTGAGAGGAAAATGAGACCTGCCTGGATTTCTGGTGTAAACCCTAACATAAGTCCAAACTCCTGAACCCTAAACCCACGGCGTCCTGTACTGCAGATACATGTTTGTGGCAACTTTGTTGCGAGCGTCTAGCAGCGGGCATGTTTCTTGCAGGTACAGAGTTTGCCTTAAGATGTCTTGCCTTCTCCTCAACCCGAAAAGCGGGCATGTTTCTCGTAGGGACAGAGATTGGCCTTGCGTGTTTTGCTTCCTCCGAGACCCTAACCACGGGCATGCGCCTTGTTTTCCCCTTTTTTCACCTCGTGCTTTCCCCTAAACCCTAGCAACGGGCATGTTTCTTGTAGGTACAGGGTTGGGCCTTGGATGTCTTGCTTTCTTCTAAGCCCTAACAACGGGCATCTTGCTTGTAGGTACAGAGTTTGGCCTTGGATGTCTTGCTTTCGACAATAGTAAGGCGGTAGTATGGTGGTACTGCCAAAATTGCTCCTTGTGGTAAATTCCCAACAGCTTGCGGCGTTGACACAGCCCTGGCAGCCAGGGCCCTTGGGGGTGCTAGCCTAGTAGTGGCGTTGCTTGTGGTAATAGGAGTAGTAGGAGTAGTAGTCGTCGTCGTCGAGGAGGTCGCAACCTTCACGGTCAGTTCAACATGCAGTCTTGCTCCCTACAATCTTTGGCACCATTATGGCACACTGTCGAAAGCACCTGTGTAAACATGTGGGCATGTGCGTGCACAGTGTAGCCAAGCTGCCGAAAGGAGTCGGGTCCTTTGGTAGAAGCAGGTCTGCACCCTGCTACACTTTGAGCTCCCGGGAGAGAGAGATATACATATTATATAGACGTATATGGGTTACCGCCTATAGCGGTTCCCCTCCACTTTTGCATATGTCCACTAGACCAATGCAACCTCAACCATTAATCCAACCCTTCCACAATGAGAATTCCTCAAGCCTACACCATTCAACCCATCGTGTTGCCTCTATGAGACTACCACTAAACCATTGAACCAGAAAACCATTCAACCAATTCTTGTCCTCCATGAAAAACACTCTAAACCATTAAACCATCAAACTATAAAGTCATTAAGCCTTTAAACCAATCCCTTCCCGCTGATGCCATCGACCAATGATATATATATATATATAACACCTACCAGAGCTAAATAGACTACACGATTTCCATAAATTCTGCTTGTGTCCTTAACTAAAGGTGTTTCAGTATGTAGCGTCAAGAGAATAAAGGACGGCTACTGGGACAAGCGATGCGCCAACACATATAACTACGATGATCGCGGCGAGGTTTTTTGTAAGTAGCGCCAGCTGTATTCACTGAAGAGCTATAATACTCGGGCACTAGTTCTTCAAATTGTACCTCGGGCTACTGTTCTTGTATTCAGCGAACGACAATAACAACGACCATCAGATTTCTGTCCCAGCCCAGTATATGCAGAACGTTTGTATAGACTTACATGAAAGTATCTATACAACTCATTTGGCTAGAAGCTTTGATGTGGTTCTGCGCTTGAAAACAAGCTCGCGGCGGTACTCGGCAGCGACCGGTAAACAAGTTGTGGAGCGAAAGTGCAAACAAAAAAGAGCAAACATGTTGAGAACATGTTCTAGTTTTTACAGTGAAACCAGTGTGTAAGAAGCCATTGCATAAGAAACTTCGACCCTAGATCTGTGGATTTTGGGCGATTTGCGGTGGCCTTTTAGCTAAGTAACTTCGGGACCCCCCTAGTGTGGGTGTGTGGGGGGGGGGGGGGGGACTTTCTTGAAATTCCGCCTGCAAACCCCTCCGGGCCTCCATTTCTAAACACCAAAAAGCATTGTGTTGTTAATTGCTGTACACTATATGAACCCTATAGTTTTTGGAGTTAAGGGATGAGATTTTTCAGCGGCCTAAGGTTGAAGTGCATTTCCGCATGGTTTGCCGGAAAACAGGAGGTAGTTTATTTGATGACAGTAGGGGGATCAAAACCCGGCTCCGTTGAAGAAGGGTGACGCCTTACGCACCAAAGCATTGAGGCCTACGACTACCGGTCCAAGACGACTCACATTCTAGAAGTTTTCAGGGAGCAATATTAGCCCCGAATACAAAATACGATTAGAAGGCTCATGCCTGTATATGTGGATTTGGCCTAGTGGCATAGCGCATACCCTAGATCAAACCCCCGGGTACATGGGGCAATGGAATCCAAGAAACTTAGGGTACCCTACCGCCGAAAACCATTTTCTTATGCAACGTTTCACTGTGAACATTCAGTTCATAGGCATACAATGAGGGGAACCGCGATAGCGGGCGCCCTGAGATCTGCGTATATATATATATATATGTCTGTATGTAAAATACACACCCAGTATGCTGGCAGAAAAAATGCAAACTCAACATGCTTTGGCAGTACGGGTATTACATCATCTGGTTTGCACATCTGAATGACCATTGGGAGAAGCGTCTTGCGGAGAAACGCCCCCGGGAGCCAGGCGACGCGGCCCGTGTCGCTGAAGTCTCGGAGTCTGTAGCGGGAGACACCAACAAGCCCTACAAAACCCTAGAGTATGGCCAGCCTTTCACAGGCAATGGGTGGCAACTTAGGATTTGTAAACACGGAATGATAATGCTTGCCCTCGGTGCTGCCGATTTCCGCAGCAAGGGGAATCAATGCAGAACCCTTCCGTCCACACCCAAATTGTGAGGTTTTTACGAGCCGCTTTGTGCCGAGAACTTGAGGCTCGGGGTCTCAGATTCCGACTTTTTTTTGATCCGATTTGTATGCGATCAGACTGTAGAAATGAGCCTTTCGGCCATGGCAAAGCTTGTATCACTTGCGGTTCCTCAATGCCACCCTTTTCTGTCCAGCAGCCACTTCGGCATGGCGGAGCGCATAATGAGGTCGCACCGGATACACCCTGCCCTGGACACCGCATTCACGAACTGGTGGCTGGATTTGTTGCCCGTGCGGGGGGGGGGGGGGGGGGGGGGGGGGGGGGGGGGGCGGAGCCCGACTCGCGCAACCTCTGATGGAGAAAACTAATTCCAAAGCTGTGGTCTCCAAAGTGAGACAAGCCCTGCAAATCATGACGTGCGCCGCTCTAGTATGAAAGACACCAAAGGCACGCTAAGACCATCGCCAAATTACCTGCCGCCTCCCCTTCCACCTTCCGCCCTGCTCCCCCGCTCTCCCCACCTGCCCCCCCCGCCGGCGTGACATGACATCAAACTTCAACGCAGCGAGGAAAGTCAATCCTGTGTGGATGGCCGGGGACCCCCAACAATTTGCTGCCCTTACAGGAAATCCGACCCCTGATCCTGGCATGTACAGCACAGCGGCATAGTCGCAGCATTGCAGCACTTGGTACAGTATCCGCAGGCATCCGCAGGCCTCGACAGTAGCCAACTGTGGTGGCCTTCTAATCCTGGGTTCCGGCACGTCGTTGGCGTTGGGACCCAAAAGGAACCGGCCTTGTTCAGCCATCAATGCACGGTTGCTCTGTCGCGTGAGCCAAAACGGCCGGTTTCAAAGAACGGAGAGCTGCGGCCAACAATTTATTGTGTCCTCAAGGACACATGATGCCAAGCCGAACAACACGTACCAAGCAACCACAAGGCATTTCAAGTATGCAGCGTGCATGAGCATGACGACGACATATCCTAGGGCACCTGGTGCACCGTCGCCAAAGTTCGGACTTGGTCTCGTGAAGGACGCAACAGATAAAAATGTAATAACATGTGTGTGTTTTTTCTGTTCCTCTTCCACCGGCAGCGATTAGCGTGCGTGGCACAGTCCGAGCTTGCGTAGTCACCACCAGCGGTGATGTGCAGCTACCATTTAGCTAGGCATCTTGGCCCTGGCATGCGGTGCTATGCGGCGCATTGCAATCGTACTTCTATTTGGCTGAAGAAAGGTGCGCTTTAATGTTTGTGACGTCGCAACACCTCGGAAGTCCACATCCAAAACAGCACACCCCCCCCCCCCCCAAGAATGGATCTCTATATCTATCAATCTATGTACGTTTTTATCCTATCTACAGAAGATTTTGAAACATGTACATATATATATATGTATACAGATAGCTCTGAACACTTGGCCTCTTAGCACTGCGAGAGTCGAACTGGAGCCGGGGTCCGGACACAGCAGCACAGTGGCCTCGAGAGACAGAGAGAGAGATCCCCCCCCCCCCCCCCCCCAACAAAAAAAAGGGCCCGATTGGGAGAGAACTGTCAAGCTTCAAGCTAACAAACACCAAACTTCAACACTGTTGTTCAGCAGGGAGGCCCACAAATCCCTACCCCCGACGATGCAAGAGCAAATGCACTTGCAGCAGTCAAAAGTCTACTGCCCATGTCTTGAGAAGAAACTTGGTTGAAAGTGTGGAACCGCAGAACAACCCCCAGCTACTTTCTCTGCAATGCTCCCAGCAAACAGCAGCTTAGTCGCCGACGGAAGTGCCGTCGATACCTCATATCATGTTTGCGATCCCCCCTCTTGGCTTTTCGACGAACTGACATCCTAACAGCTTTCAAGGATTGCACAGCCACCCTATGTCGGCTTTCGTGAACTTCCTCCTGGCCCCTGTCATTTGCTCATATTTGCTCACACACAGATACGCGCTGTGCTTCTGAAAATCTCGGGTCCTGAGATGTCTCGCTACACATTAACTTAGGGGCATGGCTTTCCATGGATCACTCCGATGGCTTGCCAACATCCGAATCAGCATTCTTGATCGAATTTGATGTGCCAGTCCTTTGTACGAGGCATGGATTTTTCGTCGTGCTGGAATGTTGGGCTGAAATCACAGCTGGGGGGAAGTAGTGGGGGTCACCCTCGTTGACAAAGGGTAGTGCTCGACCGCCGGCCGAAGGCACAAAAAGGAGCGAGACACACGCCTTGCAGTAAAATGAGACTTCCCATCTGAACCTGAAATTTGGCCTCAACAGTCTACCCGCTGATAAAGCACGGTAGCATCAAAGTGTACTGTCACTTGCGGCCAAAGATTTTTCAAAGCTGCAGGTGAGCAGGACTCATTCTGAACAAGCAGTAACCAGGATTCTTCCTATTAAGAAGTAGGATGCTTGAGATGTGAGCTCAATGTTTGCATTGCGCAAGATGTCGAGGATGCTGTTGAGAGCTGCTCCGACAGGTCAACGAGAAAGTCTCCTCCGAAGCCCAAACAGGAACCAACTTCCCATGGCTGAAGTCGACCAACATGCCGCCTTTCAAGAACCAAAGACCAAGCCCCTCCAAGCGTTTCCAAGTTTTCGACTGTCAACATGAAGTGCGGAGGGACGAGGGGGGGGGGGGGGGAGCGGCTTAACGCCAAAGTTAACAGAGCTAAACAGTGCGCACCCGTCTGGCTGAGCGGAAAATTGTGTCTACAAATTGTGTTCTGCCGTGCTTGACCCGGAGGCCCTGCTCTGCTCCAGCCCCGGCGGGCATGTGAGTCATCCAGATTTCACCCCCCCCCCCCGGCGCGCTCGACCCATGAAAAACCTCCATTTATTGATTAGAAACGTTGGAAAACTTCCGGGCCTCTGCCTCTTTTTTCCTGTGTTTCCCTTCGAAAGCAAACTGACTGAGCATCCAGCAGATGGAGGCTGCCTGGCCGCGCTCTGGCAAGCCTGCAACCTCAAGGATAGAGCGGGCTTGAGCCGTTCGGGCTGTCACAGTGACAGTTTCAGGCTTGCCTTGATTGGAGGCAAGGTTGCAGGCGCATACATCTTTATTAATCTGTGGGGTGCATAGGTCATAGGCGGTGGCGGAGCTGCAAGAAGTGCCCAGCAGGCTCCAAGTTCAAAGCTTCTGTAACCACGCCTCCCACAGCTTGAATCATCTCCGGGAATGCTGCGACAGAACATGTGAAAGACAAAACGAGGCGACCCCAAAACTCTGATCACATAACAAAGCAACAGCCAAACGCTTAGCTGCTGACGACCTTCTGCAGCGCCTCTCTCCACTCCGCAGGGCCACTCGCATCTCCTTCCCAAGAGAACAGACAGAGTTCGGGCTTGAGTCTTCGGGCTATTCACAGTCTTGTGATGGAACGGGGTGGGGCAAAGACCTTGTGAACAAAATCCCGGCGGGAGTCACGACAAAAAAAAACAGCCCTAGGAAACAACCCAAGCCTTGCTTTGCAAATCCACATCTCTCCATAAGGCACAGAGGACTCCGAGATCAGCTCAGCCTTGTGGTTGAGACAAGCCTGGGGAACTGTGACACGGAGTAAGAGGGTGCAAGCTGGGTTGCGCTATTTGCCCTGCAAGCTGAGAACATGCCATCACCTTAGCTAGCTTAGCTTAGGAAGGCTAAATCTTCCTGCCCTAGCTTCTCGTTTAATGAACCAGCATGAAGCAGCAGCATGAGAGGGTAGGTCCCAATCCATCAATGTAGCTGAAGCACAGCTCGGCAGCCCGACGTTCCAAAATCCAGGCCGATGTAGACCTGCTCAAGGCTGTTTCAGCAATCTAGAACCCATGGCCTTTGCTGAAAAGCCGGAGCTCTAAAGAGAGTTTCAAGGGCTGCAAAGAAAGGCGTATTCGCCACCGTTCTCTGACCCTTCTCCCAAAGCCGCCTTTCCAGGCACTGGACGCTCGATCTCAGCTCCTTCACCAGAGCTCAACCGACCAAAAACCCTCACAAAGTGAAATGGACATGCTTCTGTACCCATGCATCATGCATGTGATTGCGCATCCCCGTACATCCACCTCCACCTTATGTTCTGTCCAAGGGAGCAGAACAGATCACAGTTGGGAGGGGGCAGATGTCGCTTCTGCATAGAACAGCGATGGCAGCACAATTCACAAGCACCATCTGAGCCATGTCCTACTTAGTATCTCGTTTCGGCTGGCGTCCGCTGTTATCTGGCGTCTGCTATCATCTGCAGCAACACGGGCCCAGAATGCCCACAACCCGAAGCCAAGAACATCCCCGCCACAATCGTGAACTCTTGATTGACTCATGACGGTTCATGCATATTCCGATCATATTCCTGCTCACGTGCGCCGGAGCAAGTTGGCTCCTCGGCCGCGGCCTGCTACGTTGTCTGCATATGTCTGCATGACGCCCTTGCAAGTCTCGAAGAAAACGCGCCTTTTTTAAATGGATGGGCTTTCTGGCTTTCTCCTTATGGAGGCCGTGGCTGGGCTCAGTTGCTGGCCTTCTCTACTGCAGCGCATTGTGGATTCAGCATTCCTCCAGCTTGCCTCGTTGCAGCTGAGGTTTGAGAAATCCGCGCAATCCCTGATGGGAGGCGCATGTCACGGTGCATGTGTGATGCGGCACCGAACGTACCAACTCTCGGTCGTAAGCTTGCCTGCATGACACACCGGACATAGTCCGCAGTACTACAAGACACGCCTTTCGTTGGCGCCTCCGACACAGGCCACCCAGGCATCTCTCGAAACCTCAAGGCGGAGGAATACGATCGCGTCCATGTGAGGTGACAAAATGGGCAAAGCTTGGCGACCCCCGAGGAACTGCCCACCATCTTTCGAGTGTTCCCGTAACCGTATAAGTACCTGTGCGATTCTGTGCGTAATGCAGCCTGAGCCATTGCCGCGGGAGGAGAAGCCCCTGTACCTACATGTACCTACACTGTACCCACACCTATAGACATCCTTTGCTTGTCAACTCTCCATCTTCCGGAAATGCCTGGGTGATCTATCCGCCGACATCCTCTTTGAGGGTGCGGCGACATGGATCGAGATGGGAGGCCGACAGCCAAGCCGAGCAACAAGGCAAATGGTACATCCTCCTGATTTTACCGAACGAAGACCTAAACCACCGTGACTGGTTTTGAGGTGCGATGGCTAAGACTCGACTTCATCAGGATACAACATGAGGACGGATCGCGGGAGCAATCGGACCTAGAGTACTCGACAGAAATACATTCAGGTTGACTGCATTCTTCAATGTCCGAAACATCGGTTTTGCATGTGTCGACAACGCTCTCGTACGGCGCTGTCGGATTCGGGTGAGGCTCGGTTGAGGCAAGGCCTCCCACAGAAGGAGCGGACTCGCAACTGCACAAAGTCAAATGAAGCACTGGAAGTAGATTCAGGTAGATTTGTGTCTACAGTTCACCCCGCTGAGTGCACTCGTCGTGGTCGCCCCTAGGAAAAGCATGTCGGAAGCAACCTGGACCTGTGGAGGGTAAAGCCCGGGGAGCAGACCGGAGTAGAAGCGGCTCCAACCAACAGAGTACAAAACGCAGTACCCAGCTTGAGAATATTGACTTCGATGTCTAAGGCCCTACGTAATTGGCCGCGAATGCAATTCAAGATCCTACCTTATGAGACCGAAGAAGTAGACATACTCCTCCATGAAATGAAGCTGGCTCCAGCCCATCCACTCAAGTCGAGATATTCCTCCGGTTCTACTTCACATCTTTAAGCATGCTCGCCGTTTGAATCAGCGTTGACTAGTATTTTCGTTGAAGTTCTTACGCGTAATTGTGGGCATATCGAGACGAGCATCGCAGGAGTCGGAAGAGTTCCAAGCAAGTTTTGCCTGGACTCCTCCAAGTAGTTCCGCGGCATGTTAACTGTTCATCTGCAGCGATGTAAAATTTAGGCCAACTCGCCTGTTCTGAAATTCTTACCAGGTCCACTCGTTCCAGCCAAGTGCGAATTCACCTCGGGATTGAGCGCTGAAATACATAACCTCTTCCGAAAGCGATGGGTCGCATGATCCTACACTGCATGGCTCTTGCATTCTAGGAAAATATCATCAGGTTAGGAAACTAAATGACTGCAAAACAAGTTAGAACATCTTCTTGGACGATGATTCCCTTGCACCTCAGCATTCCTCGCGAAGAACGAAGGCCTGCGCATCCGGCATTGGTATACTGAAGTCACGACAAACATGGAAGTTTTGATTCTGGGTTCGTTTGCCAAGCCTTACTGTTATCAACTGACTCAACCTCCCCTCGCTTCACAACCTTGCAGCTGCAATCATGTCAAGTGAAATACCCAAGCACCTGACGGTCTGAAGAATCTGCTTGCTGACTGCGCTAGTGACCGCTAGTTAGTGCACTTGTAAAAATCTTGTAAAAGCTGCTCTCAAATTCTGGTCCAATGAAACATCACCGGACTTGGCAACCTCGTAGCATCCCGTCGCTCACCCCAGCGCGCCAGGCAAAGGCAGCACCTTGCTGCAAAAAGCGCTGTGCCCCGTCACCATCGATGGTTGCGTGCTACCAGGGCACTGGACACAGGCCTGCTGGAGCAGAGTTCCGATATCGAGTAACGTTAGCTGAAGATGAATAGTCGGAGTCTGCGGAGTTGTGGCGCGCGCCCGTACCTTGGTTGACATTCTGAGCCTCTCTAGGGACTCTAGGGGATGTCAGCAACAGCAAGAACAGCAACAGCGACAACAGCAACAGCAACAAGAGCGCCAGCAAAAGCAGCAGCAGCAGCAGCAGCAGCGGCGGCGGCGGCGGCGGCGGCGACAGCAAGAAGAGCAGCAATAGCAAGAAGAGCAAGAACAGGAAAACAAGCAAGAAGAGCAAGAACGGGAAGAAGAGCAAGAAGACCAAGAAGAGCAAGAATAACAAGAACAACAAGGATAGCAAGAATAACAATAAGAAGAACAATATAAGAACAACAAGCGTTCGAGCCAAAAAACAAGAAGAAAAAAACAAGAATAACAACAACAAGAAGAATAACAACAGCCAACCAACCAACCAACCAACAAACCAACCAACCAACAAGCACCAAGCACCAAAGAATAAAGAAAAAAGAGCACACAAACAACAAACACCAACAGGAACAACACCAACACCAGAACCACGAAGCGGCCGCCGGCCACTGTGAACATGAGAAAGCAAAGAACTGCCAGTGGAACTGAAAGTCGCCTAGCCCGGTGCAACGCAGCTCTGCACTGCAACTTAGATGCGACCTTTCTTGCCTTTGTTCCGCTTCTGCGCCTCGTAGAGCTTTCGGGTCATACGGCTCAGGTTTCTCAAAGTTTCTGCAGCTGCCACTCATTCAGAAAGTATCTTGGTAAAGGGCTACTTCTTGGAGCCTTGCCCTCATTAGGAAAAATCTAAGAGAGAGAAGAAAAAATCCATTATGTAGATTTTAGGACCGACAAGGCACCACAGGCACGTGTCAAGTGAACGACGTGGGGTTTCTGAGGCACAGGCATCTCCACAATCGCACAGCGCGAAAAAGCACCGAGGAGCTCGAGGAAAAGGTTGCCGGCAACAGGATGAGACGATTTTGGATTTTGAACTATTTCGAAGCAATATCGGAAAAATAGGACGTTTGGAGCAAACCAAAAAGCTACCTTTCAACAAATGCCCCACGGACACAGAAGAGCCACAGCTTTCGTGCTGGCTATTGGGTTGTAGCAGCCTGAACTCCGGTGCATAGCTTCGAGTGTTGTCCAAAATCGACATCGTGGAGTCGATCACAAGGCAAACGCGTCCCGTCTGGAAGATGGCTTTGCTCGACGTGGATTCGACAAGATCTCGCCATGGCAGACGGGGCTGGAGCGGGGCGGGAGTGGGGCGCAGGGGGAGCGGGAGAGGAGCTGTGTGTTTTCAGGACAACCCATTTGTTTCCTCCACACGTTGAATTGGAAACCTCGATTTCCATGAGTGCATGAGAACCTCCCCCCGGCCAGGCCGCTGTGCCATCCATCGATGGACATCCTCCCTTCAAACCCCATCATACAAGCAGCATTACGAGACATGTACGAGCATCGTGTTTACCAGCGCAGGGGGGGGGGGTCAAAAAGTGCCAGTCAACTTTTCAATCATTGGTAACTCCCAATCCAAAACGCTAGCAAACCAACAAGCATCAAATTTGATCAATACCTAAACAACTTGCCTTCGAATTTAGAATTCTAGAACATGTAGGTCTAGGGTGTGGGCGATGCGAATCCTGTGGAAACCCGTCAAGCATGCTGTTTGCAAGCAGCGCTCTTTGGAGCAAGCGTTATCGGCTGGGAAGAGCAGGGCCGGCTGGGCGCAGCCCCCCCTCCCCCCCATTTGCAAACAATGCTCGTATGATGGGTTTGAAGGAATGACCGTCGATGGCAGGACATTCGGAGGAGGGAGATGTGGGGGTCGCAGATCCCGCCCGCCCTGCGTTTGCAAATGACACATTGTTCGTATGATGGCTTTGGAGAGGAGTCATGACAAACGGGTTCTGAAGTTCTGAATGAAATATACGGCCCGATTTTCTTGAAAGCAAGTGCGCACAGCTCCAGGGGCTGAAGGGCCTGGGGACTGCAGGAACAGGGGGACCAGCGGAAGAATGGGAAGCCTAAAAAGGGTAGCAGAACAATGGGAGTGCAAATTTTCTCCTCTTCCTAAACCGTAGGAACAACTATTTGTGGGTCCTAAACGGCTGCTGTATTCCTACAGATTCACATCTTTAAAAACATCCCTGTTCTGCGAGCCTCTGAGAGGATTCCTCGGCGCGTGGCCACGCGAACGCAGTACTGGCGGACAATCCTTTGTAGGTTTTGAGCAGGTTAATTGTATCGGCAGAAGACTTCAGGGCTTGTGAGCACTTGCAAACAGGTAACGCCAACGCCCGTACTTGAGCCGAGTTGAAGCTCGTACTGAGAAATCTAGAAGTTAGCAACAAGCTAGT